AAATTTTGTACAGTGTTTTATTAATGTAATATCTAGTAACTGTTAAAGTTTCTCTGCTTTGTGATTGTTTTTATGTGTGTGTTCATACAACCTTAATGCCTTTCACGTACATTTTAATTCGCTTGACATACTATAAAGCTTCGAGCGTAATTCAATTCGTTTATTTTCTTCCTTTGAGGAAAGGATCGCATTTATAAAGTATGTGTAGGAAGTATCGGCGCTATCCGTACGAGGAAAATTTCTGCCTTTTGTCTGCGTCAAGTCAGTTAAAGGGTTAACGTGTTACGAACGTTCCATGTTTCGTTGTAAGAAGCGAAGAGAATCTGCGCTGAAGAATGCTTTGAATACTAGCTCAAGGAAAATAATTGTACCATTATTACATGAATGAGGATAATTCTCGCGCGTTTATATCGCAATTCGCTTCTTGTCGACGTTACGGTGAAGCTTGAATGAAATAGATGCGAACTATTGTTCGAATCAACAAAAGGAGCGAATGACAATAGCAGGAAATAAGGGTTCGTTCATTGTCAGCACCGCGCAATAAAAAGAAAATCTTATCTGAATTCGATGCTACATATATCAAACACTCTCTTGATATCTGCTAATCTATCTGGTGCATTGATACAGTTGTTCGCTGAAAAATATTTTTTCAGATCCACATTTCTCTTTCGACGATCTCCCAATTATATGCATTAACATTAATTATAATACAAACCTTCGTCTTCACTTTATAAAAAAAATGTAAAAACATTCAAGGCGATTTCTTTGCTGTTAACGTTTAATTTCTTCTTATTATTTCCGTTAATTGACTGCGGTTTAATTCCCGAAGTTTCGATGGAACGAACGTTAAGGACGGGATCAGAACGAGTTGGATTTATGCGGGATTTATTCTTAAAGTCGCGCGTGAGCAAACTTATTCGTCCCCGTGGCGTTTCACAAGCGGGTTCGTTCGATTTGATGTAAATTATACCTGAACGTGGTAAATCCTGGCGCGGCGGACGGGACGCGTTTATGCAGGCATCTCGTAGGAGACTGATCCCTTCGATTAGCTCAGAGAAATCGTACATCCATAGTCGCCCCCGACTCTTATTTCATCCACTAAAAACTGGGCGATCCTGAAATCATCATTTTTAATCCGATAGTTCGTCTCGGGAATTATGAGAGTTATGCAGTGGGAAATTATGGTGGAATGATTTTGCCGTGGCTAGAAGCTCTCTGCATTATTCTTGAACCGGTCGATCGATAATGTATTTACTCGCGTATCGCTTGAGTGAAATAAAAATTTCAACGCATGCGTCGAATTTTGCATTGATTTCCTGGCCATCACGCGGTTAATTGTATTTCACACTCTCTTTTGAAATAGTTTTGTGAAAATCCTGTACAATTTACGTGTCGTGAAAAATAAAATTAAACAGGTCACGGCTGAGATTAACCGATATAAAGTAGATTGATCTGTTCGAAAACGTAACGCGATATCGCGGCGATTAAATAAAGTAATCGGTCTTTCTCTTTCTCTATTTTATGTAATACATCTGTTGATTGTGATAAATGTTTTATCAAAACAGGACTTTGTAACATACTTTGGATCTTCTTTTTTCTTTACACAGATACGTGAAACTTATTTGCACATTGAGGGTCGGCATAGAATAATCAAGATTGTACGAACTCTTACATGAAAACAATGACAAAGCATTGAAATTTTAACAGTTACTGAATATTACATTAATATAAACCTTGCTCCTCTGTAATAAACATTTCTTCTAAAAATTCGTTGCTTCAAATATTCTTACGGCTCATACAACCTTAAAAAGTGCTGTTAAGAATTTATAAACTGGTAAAAGTAAGAATTCATTCATCAAACTCATTCAACTTAGATCGGACATAAAATTGACCTGAATTCATTAATATTGTTTATCAGCAAATTAGGTATTTAACGCCTTGGAACAAGTAAGTTAAACTTCATCTATGCTGATTAGGTACGGTGACTAAACTTGAGCCCACGAGACTCATTATACGAATACAACCGGTCCGCAATAGGCCGATTCACGTTGAACTGGCTTCGAGATTTCAGATCTAGAAATCATAGGATTGTTAGTAAGGCGACGTGCGCCTAACAGCGCCCGAAGGTCCGAAGTTGACTGAAATTTTAAGCAGGTTCGACCGGATCAGCAACAGGCGTTTCTGAAACTGTTGCTCAATTTTTTGTAATCAGCCAATAAGTCCTCGAAGTTTCAAACTTTTGCATCCCGAATTATTCGGCAATGACGAACACTCTCCGGGTTTCGAGAAGTTTTCACTCACCCCCGTTCTGAAAATAAAATCCGCGCTTTCGAAAGCGTTCGGTTCGCTCGATTAAAAACAATAAAAGCTCGAGGCACGCCGCGGTGACGCGACGACGTTTCTTCGGTTCTTAAGAGCCGAGTGACTGCATTTACGAAAATAAACGTCGTCGTAAATCACGCGA